GGAAGTAAGGAGCAATGCATGAACACAGCCCCCAACAAGAAGGAAAAAAGAAAAAAAAAAGGCTTTGAAATTAAAACAAATACATGAACAGTAAATAAATGACACTGTTAAAGCAAAGTGCAACTGAATAGAAAAACTGCAGGTGAGAAATAACGCGTGGGAAGTGAAAATGTGAGAAAGCATTTAAATAGATTAGAGAGAGGAAAGGTTAATAATAATATAAAAGATTAATATTTCACCCAGAACTGGAAAGAAAAAAAGGAGGCAGTTGAGAAATATTGGTACAAAGCAAAATAAATCAAAGCAAACACACAAAGCTTTGGGGGAAATAACTAAAGACAGGCAAAGTGAGGGTAAGAAATAAGATGAGAGGGAAATATTCATGCTTCACCATTTCTCCTATGGTGGCATTACTTAGTGCTGTGCAAAATGTACATGTTGTTATGTGCAGACACTCTTTAGGTATTAACCACAACCCTTCAAGGTACGAGGAGCATTTTCTACAGCTCCACAAATCCCAGTTTAACCCTGGAGTCAGACTACAGGGTCTCCTGTGGAGACTGGATGGAGAAGGCATCTTGGGCATCACCTGGCCCCGATCCCTGTGTCCCTGAAGGAGCAGACTGCAAAAGCTTTGGGACCCAGACTAGAGCCTGGCCAGGTCGTAAAAACACGCTATTCTTGTGAGCTGTTGATATTGCAATCACGCCCAGGGCCACTGCAAGGGCTCTGGGCTCCAACCAGACACCATGGAGGTGGGGCAGGGGATGGGTCTCCTTTGAAGCAGAGAGCAGCCCACTTTTTTTTAAACAGGGGGAGAAGAGGGCTGGAAGAAAAGCCAGGGCAAAGACAACCAGGGTGGTGGGAAGTTCAGATGGTGTCAGGAGACTTTGGGGAACACAGCACAGAGGTTTTTAAAGTACTTTCCCAAGGACATAGAAAAAAAAGGAGAGAGGAGGGCAGCAGGGTGAATCTTGCTGCAGAAATTCGGCTAGGTGGGTGTTAACCCCACGGGTGTCACAAAGGGTATTAAACAGTTAACAGAGCATGGTTGTTTTAAGGAAGAAACCTTAACCCACTTGGAGCTTGGCAGCCAACAGCATGTGTTTGTGCCAGACCTTGGGAGCTGTTGTGCAAGGTCTGTCTCTTTTGTGTAGCTGGAGTCAGACAAAGAGTGTTTTTAACTCGTGATGGAGCAGCGTGGTGGAGCAAACTGCCAGCTCCAGGGTCATTTTAATGTCAACTTTCCCCACTTTCCCCTTTTTCTTTCTGGAGGGTGGCTCCAATGGCAGCTGTCCTCCATGGTACAGGGAGGAAACTCTCTGTTTCAGCTCAGGGTTATAAACTGCAGCCTCAATGGGGAAAGGAGAGGCCATGGGACAAGGTGAGAAAAAGGCAGCCATGGGTAGTGCTCCCAGTGTCCCTGAGTCACGCAGATAGTGCATGCAGGACAAGCGGTCCAGCCCAGCCCCAGACAGCATCAGGCTGATCTGGTTGTGTCCTCCTGGCAGGTCAGGGAAGGCTGGGTTGCTTCATCTGTCCATGCAATGGCAACAGTGTTAGATGAAGGACCCAAAGAGGGGGAGATCATGGGATCCAGTAACCCCAGGAAAAAAGGAAGACCTGCATGGGAGATTTTGCCTTTTCCACCTGACTGTTGCAGGCAGCCTGCTCTATTCTTCCCTTTCCCAAAGCACATCTGTGTCTGTAGCTGACCTGGTAGGCTCCAAACAACATGGCAGAGCTCCTCTGGTCAGCCTCATGGAACACAGGAGAGGCCACCAAACCTTGAGCTGGGAAGGACAGGGATAGCCCAGATTCACCATGTCTGGCTGAAATACAAAGTGATCCAGGTAGACTTTTATCTCAGCGAGACAGCTGTGAAAGTCACCTTGCTATTGGTCACAATGGGTGACAAACATGAGTCCTTTGGGGATGCAGATACCAACTAACAGGGGACCAAGGCCATTTTGTCATATTCCCTTAACCTCCAAGGTCCTAAGACATAATTCAGCCCTATCAGCTTGGAGGCTCACGGGGAAGTATCAAACAGTACCATCACTCATGGAGTCAACAACCATGATTCACATCCCCACCAATGCCCTGGCTGAAGGGACAGATCCAAACTAGCTCACCAAACAGGGCACAAGCCCAGCCCCAACACCATCCATGCCATTGGACCATCAACGTGGCTTGGGCACACCCCAGCCAGTGTTGTCTCAAACAGTGCCCTGACATGGGACTGGTGGTTGCAAGCAATTTGGATATAACCACCCTGTTTGTAGAGAAAAGAGGTTAGAGTTATGGATGTGAATCATCCTTCTTGGATCCAGGGCCAGGTTTTATTATTCTGTGGTGGTGTGGTGGCATCTCTGCAGCCAGGAGAGGGAATATCAGAGACCTACAGGGTCTGAAGTAAAAAGGACAGTGAAGGATGGTCTGGAGGAGGAAGAAGAGGTGAGAAAAAAACCCATTACCCTCTTGGGATTCCCCCAAAAGAGTTAATGCCAGTCCTCTGGAAGAAGGACATCACTGACCACAACTGCATTTGGGGAGAAATGATCCTCATGGGTTTATTTATGTTTTCACTTGTAGCACAGCTCAGTTGATAATTCCCACATCTGTCACTGAAAGTGGGAATTCCCCCTTGTCTGAGGTCCAGCCCTCCTGATCCTCATTGATAACATCAGCAGTCAACATGCTGACACCAAAATGGGACTGTCCCCTCTGTGGCATGTTCATGCTGGTCCTGACAAGCAATGCTCTGGTCTTTCTTTGGAAATCTTGGGCTGTGATAGACATCTGAACCATGCCAGTATCAACACTTATGAAAGGCTAATCAAAAGCTTTGCCACGGAAGATTTTGGCTAGCCTCTCCAGAAAGAAAAGTAGGTGAGAGCTGTCATGTTTGTCTTCACAACTGTCTTTCTGATCACTATGGGGTTTTTGTGTTCGTTTTGTGGGGTTTTTTTTAAATTAAACTTTAAGTTCCTGGAGTTATACGGTGGTGTAGAGCAGTCATTTGAACCTGCCAGGCCAATGATATGTGAGAGAAGTTCAGCTACGACACATCTGTGGCAGCAGCTGGCCTTGTGAGAGCCTCCACAGCTGTCCACAGGGACACCAAGAAAGTTTTCGCCTGTTCATCCATTTTGCTTCTGTAAGAAAATAAATTTTCCATGTCTACCCATTGTAAAGGGTAGACACACATCCCACCTCAGAAGTCACAGTTTTCAAAATTTCTCTTCTTTTTTTCTTTCTTTCTTTTTTTCTTTTTTTTTTTTTTTTTTTAATTTACTTTAGGTTCTTGACTCATCTTTTCCATGATGGATATTTCAGTCCT